ATGCGTAAATACAAAAAAAAAAAGAAAAAAAAGAAAAAAGAAAAAAATAATAAAAGAGAGTGAGAGGAATAATGCGCAATATTTTTTGTTGAGGAACAATTAATAAAATGAGTGAGAGATGTATTAATACATGCAAATTTTGAAAACGTACAGTTAACGTACAGTCTTTCCACGAACAAGATAATATTGCATATTATATTCTTATTCGATTCGAATTTTTTATTTTGTATGATAAAGTCGTCATATACATTACTACCCTGTAATAATATCATGTACAGATATTATTTCTATCGATGCGAATATTTGTTTATTTCAGAGTAAAAAAATTAATAAAGTTGAAACACAAACAGCAAACAAACATTATATTATTAATAGTCTATTTAATCAAATGATAATAGTAAGCGAGTTGCAAGGTAAATTAGCAGCACAATAATAGTTATATCAAATATCAAATTATTGATAAATACCAATATTAAGAAATTTAATAAAACTATTAGATTGTACATTAAATTGACATGATAGTACATGTCAAATACTCGCTAATTAAAAATACTGTTTTAATCATATTAGTTTTGTAGCATAATGTTATATACAATTTAACCACTTATCATTATAATTACATTGTGTTCATAAAACTTTTTTTAAAAACGCATTTTGATTAAAATTCTTTTGCTTAAAATTCAAAATAAGTATAAATTTTACTAAATTCGTATAATTTTCTTACATGAAATCAAATTGGGTAATAATGCCACTGTATCGCAATATTAACAGAGGTTTTGGATGAAACTGTTAATTAAAGCATAGTAATGAGCTATATGATAGATTAAAGCTTCAGTTGATGACAATATTTTAAAAACTTTAATGAAAGAAGATCCTCATTGAATCCTCATAGAACTTATTAAAAGAATAAATGCACAGTTAAAAAAAAATATGATTAAATTAATTACAGTTTTTCATAACTAATCATTACCTGTAGTTTTTTGGACAATTTGAAATTTAATATGAATTTCGAATTGTTGTATGTCAAAATTTTGAGAAATGTCCATTTAAAATTAAAAAAAATGACTATTTTCACGTATTTTGTCATATTATAACTGAAATATATAATATACATGTATATGTAATATACAGGAAAAGTTTTGCAATCAAAATTATGCATGTATGGTAAGATTTTTTTTTAATCTGAAAAGAATCTTAAAAGAAATTTTTTTGTCAGCTATGATTAATAAAATATTTATAATTAAATATAAAGTTATTGCGGGTTATTGTAAATTAGAATATTGGTGATTTATTAAATAATTTTAATTCCTGTAAATTAAGAACTTTTTATATCGCTGAATATAAATCCAATGTCAAAATTGATAAATTCAAAATGGTGGATTCGATAAACAGATTTAAAACTAAAAAATGTCTTTGCAAAAATTTATGCGATAATGATGTTTTGTGATTTTGAATACGAAACCAATGTCAAAATTAAACAGTTTACAATAAAAATTAAACTATGTTTAAATTTTAATAAATAAGAATTTTTCTCTTCTATAAGAATTTTTCACATTATTTAATATTTATAAATTTAATAGCTAAATTGAGGTGAATTATCTAAAGCAAATTGAAGATATTTTAAGTAAGATATCTAAATCTGTAATATATAAGCTCCATTTGCAATGAATTAATGTCATGATCACGTGGCCCCCCCCTTGAAATCTTACAACTTTTATCTAAGATGTTTTTCCATATCTTTTCCATATTTTCTAAAATATTTGCCTGTGTTGATTAAAATGAGACATTTTGTACGTATAGATATATTTAAATATATAAGTTAAAATATTTTCAATTTGATTTAGATAATTCGTCTCACTTTAAATATGAAATTAGATATATTAAAGCTATTTGTTAAATCGTCAATAATCTAATTCATAGCTTTTTAGCACAATAGACCCCCCATATTTAATCATTAATGTTTTATTAACTAGAGCCGACACAAAAAATTCAAGTTAAAAGTTTTAAAAGTTCAAAATTCTAACAAAGTACTTAATTTTGATCGCAATGAAATTTCCTCTCAGAACGTGATGTATTATAATTATAATATGACAACATACGTGAAAATGGCTCTTTTTTAGAATTTCAACTATAAATTTCTTAAAACTGTGACATGATGGAGCAATTTGAAATCGGATTGATATTCAGCGTCCAAAAAAGTATACCAAGTGATTAGTCTCTCGTGTTTCTTTTCGTTGAACTATATATACATTTTTTTAGCAAGTTTTCTTGTTGTTTGACGAGAATCTTTTTCTATTAAAGGTCTTAAAACATTGTTATCATACAAAGCTTTTTTAAATCATTGTTTAATGACAAATGAACCACACGGCTCATTTTGCAAAGAAAACTTTTCAGAATTGGAATTTTGGAAATCAATGTTATACTGTTCTTTGATTAACAATTTTTCTCCAAAACTTCTGCCAATCTTAATATTGCGAGTACTGCTACATAGAGTGTTGCTACAATAATATTATTACTTAATTTGAATTCAAGAAAACAAATTTCAATAGAATTCATGCTTATTTTAAATTTTAAATAAAACTGCGCGTTTCTGAAAAAAGTTTTACAAATAAATGTAATATTATATAATAATAAATGGTTAAATTAAATATATATAAAATTATGCTATAAAACTAATATAACTGAAATAGTGGTATCAATGTTCTCAATTAGCGAAAATCATTTCAATCATTATTTGCATCAACCTAATAATTTGAAATCCACTCTTTTCTCAAATCTAGGACATTACATTGGAAACGCTCAGATGTACATGCACCATGCTTGTGATATGTCCATTGTTGAATAATAAAAAGCCAACATGCAGCGATTAACATACATAATGATTAGATGATTAGAATAAGTATAACGTCAGAGAGAAGGAGAGGACCAAAAAATGATTAACTACCAAGGGATGTGATGCGAAATATTAAATATTAAGAAATTTTAAAAAAGTGAAAGAGAATAAAAAACAAAAAAAAGAATTAGGATTAAAGAAAACAAAAAAGGAAAAAGAATCAGGATAAAACCGTATAAGCAAATTGGATAGGAACTAAGAAAGCATTCGAGTATTATATCGGTTAGTTATAATACATTAATCAGCAATAAAAAAAGAGAAAAGAAAAGATAGGTAGTAGAGATTATAGGTGAGGTAGAAGTGACGTGATTACCGATGCACACAACACGCGCTATTGCTCACCAATTGGGCGCAGTACGGCACCTGCAAGGATACCCATTGTTAGGCTATATGAGGTTAGTCATCACGGGCAAAATGGCGGGATTAATTTACAACAGCATGGTCACACAGGCAGAAAATGTTTCTTCGGCGGAACTCTTCCATCTATATCCCTCCCTCGTTTTTTTATGTTCGTATACGTGACCAAAGCTTCTCTATGCGCCATGCGCGATTCACATTCGCGATTATAAGATTAATAAAATTGGCCTAAATGTCAACAAAATCAGTCAAATTCTACTTTGATCAATCTCCGATCAATCTTTGATAATGCCATTCACTAATAAAATAAAATCATGTCATCGCTCTTGATTAAATGTGCGGTACAATACTAGATTGTCGTTGAATAATAATCGCAGATCGGATCGGCAGAATTAAAGTCAAGGTGTGCGTATGCTATACTCACTACTGAAATCAGATTCGTTTTCTGTTAATCGTCGTCAGATGATGGTAAATATTAATATTATAAAATGATTCATGTACGACCGATCCGAAACACGTGCGATCGTGATATTTTGCCTTAATCTCTCTATTTGGTATGTATGAGTATTCTGAATTTCACAATATTTTAATAATTACAAAATGAGAATTTGTGATTGATATTCCAATGATAATAAGAAACTGATGATAAGAAACAATGATAAAAAATTGTTATTAAAAACAAAATAAGCTTTTGAATAAAACGACAAACGTGATACAATGGACCTTAAATAACTTTGAAGAAATCTTACTTAAGAGAAATTTAATGTTAATAGCTAAAATTACATTTTACTAGCTAAAATTACAATAAATTTTTGTTATACAATTGTTAATTTAAATTAAGAATCTTAAGAATCTTAAGAAAAAAATTTCTTTCTGTTACTTGAAAGATAGAATGCCAAATATGAAACACCATATATAATCGTTACTCTGACTATGAAATTGAAGAAAAATTAAATTATGCAAAAATAGCATTAACGTGTGTATAAGTGTATGTATATAAGCCTAGAAATTATAATAATTTAAATTCTAGATTGTTAAACATTGTTAAAATAATTCGTCATAAATGTTATCTTGTATTATTAATTTATT